AATGGAAAGTGGTGTCAAAAAGAAGATAAAAAATCAAACACGGGAACTGAGGCGGTGGGAGGTTCGCTCATTCATCAGCTGATTATAAAAACAGAAACATGCCGGATCGTGCCACTCGCGGCGACGGGAGGAAACCACGACGTCGTCAGCTGATCGCAGGAACGCTGAGCGTTTTCCTCGTACGCTGTTGAGAGGATTTACATGGTGGGCATGCAGGGAAAAGGTCACGCCGCCGACTCAAACTCATAAAATCACAAAGACGTGGCATGCATCCTGACCTGCTCATCTAGGGTTTTTTTTAAGTGTTCATATGTGAAAGAAGTATAAAATGTTTGGAGTGAAAGTTTGATGCTGGGCTTTAGACATTAATATTTATATTTTTACTCAGATATCGGTGCAGAGCTTCAGGACAAACAACACATTCTCAGGTTTTTTTTCCATTCTGTTGAATATATTTAACACATTAATTAAAACTTCAGCTCTTCTTATCTTTGCTGCAGTGATTTAAACCTCACGTCTTCTGTTCTAAACACTTGATTATTTTCTATTTGATGCAAACTTTCTGACCCTGCAGCGCCACTGGGTTAATGAGAACCAGGTACAGGTCCGGGAAGAGGTCCAACCTGGAGTTTGGCAATGAAGAGGACTCCAGGGGTGACCAGTCCTGGACCTGGAGGGTCACGATCCTCCTTGTTAGAGATCTTTCTCTGCTTTGACACACCTGACTGCAATTAATGGATGATTAACGGTTTTGACTCAGGTGTGTTGGAGCAGAGGGACAGAGCCACAGTAATGAGTAATGAAATATTCACTCATTACATCTCAGTTTGATATATATTTTAAAAATTATTCATCCTTTTGACTTCATTCCTCTTAAATTCAACTTAAATTTATTCAAGTTAGGTGTGACTTCTGGAACTTTTAGGGTTTAAAAACAGGATTTTAGTGAAACTGAGTCTCAGGTTAAAGGGGACATATCACCAAAACCCCTTTTAGCCCTTAAATACATTTTGTTTTGTACTTGGAGTCTCTCYTGGTGCTGCGTAGATATCTTTATTCTGTTTGGGTCATACTTTTCAACCCGTTCAGTGTGCTTTTTCCTGTTATTCCTCTAAACAACCTGTAACAGCAGTTTGGACGACGCAAACATCTTTTAATCTTGTGGAGGAGAAAAGTCAGAAAATCCGAAGCGCGTTTTTGTCGTAGAATGCACGACAACACTGAAGGTAAAATATATCTTTGGGTAAAGACTGGATCAGGAACTGGAACAAGCTGTTTTCTTGATTCTGTTCTAAAACAAACAAAGTGACTGAAATTAAAAGAACACATTTTTAAAACGAACTAATTGTGTTTAAATCCCACTAAACTGTTATTAAAGTGCAACATCTTCTCGTTCTGCTGCTCCCACATGCTACTACGTCTTACAAAGGTTTGTGAGGATATTTTGGATATTTACAGGAGGAAATATTTGCTTTTTTTTTTAGTTTTTCTGTTATTTTCCCTTCATTTTACAGCCAGACTCATATAGCGAAGGTTTTTCTCAGCTGCAGTCAAAGGTCTCATCAAATAGAAAACATCTGCTTCGTTTAGCTCCGCCCACCATGCAAAGGAAGCTGACGAGCCTCAGWACAAACCGTTATTTATTCTGTTGAGCGGATCTTTGCTGTCAGTGAAGAAGATGTGAAACATAAGATTTGGAGATTTATTTTTTTAGTTGAGCCCTGTTGACAGGAAACGCATTCCAGATGAGAGGCGTCCAACATGAGGAAGAGTCCAGTGGCAGTGGCGGCGGTTAAGAAAATGAAGGCGGGGAACAGAACCGGTGACAGGAAGCAGGTCTTCAGTCATTTAGAGAGCCGGGTAGCTCGTTGGTCAGCGTGTGCCAGCGTTCGATTTTTTTGTCCTTGTTTTTGAGGCAGTCGAACCAATGTTTGAGCCTCTCTCCGTTTGCATTGATACCCAGAGAAACGCCACCTAAAGACAGGTGAACACACACAGGAGGAGTCAAACACCCGGCTCTACGCAAAACTCAGAGCCGTCAAAACGGCTGAAACTCCAGCGTTTCTTAACATCAACTGATCTTAGTTTAAAACTTCGGCATCAAAGGTGGAGAATGATATGTAATCCTGTAGAGTGTCTGGTTTTTACAGAAGTTCTGCAGATGATCTGTGCGATAAGACAGTTATTTTCTATATTTGACCAAAAAAAAAGCTAAAATGTCACTGTTAAAAAAAGTGCCTCCAGATGAAAACTCTTGCGTTTTATTAAAAACTAGATGATTAATTAATAAAGGTGATTTTATCACAAAGCTGGACTCCGATTAATAATAATATAATCCGGTTTTATAAATGATTAAAGACTAATCTGCAGATAGATTACGAGGCACTAAATGATTTGTCCTCCCTGAAAAGAAATAATCTGATTTTAACTCAGTGAAATAAAAACCTGCCCTGAATGAATAATAATTTAAATATTCAGTTTTTGTCACCTGAAGCTGGATGACGGATGGTTTTACTAACCTTTCAGTCAAAAAATGACATTTTGTTTGCTGTTTTTTATGAAAGTACTCAACCAAATATAATGTTTTGTAGGTGGAAACATACATCCGGACCCACATTGGTCCTGTTTGAATTAAAAACACTTGGTCTGCAAAAACTAGTTTGACCACTTCTGACACGTCAAGATACATAAAATCCTTAAGATTTCAACACTAAATCACATTCCTAAGGTTTAAGAAGTTTTTCATCCATTTTTTGATTCCCAATAATTCAGTTAATTGAAGAAACAAAATCATATTTTTCAAAAAGGGGAAGATATGGATTTAGCTGAAAACATGAAACAAGACATTAYTTAATTAGGTGRGAAAAAGRYGGTCTCAGGATGATTTAAAAAATGAAAATAAAAAATTGCCACTGATTTCAGTAAAAAGACACTTTCTGTATTGATCTGTTTTTTTTTTACTCTGCTCTGATGTGAGAATAACATCTAAATCTCTCACAGACGCCCCTCACCAGAGGAGACAACACAGCTGGTGCACAGTCAGAGGCCGCTGAAGTAAACTTCTACTCGCCTTCAAAATAAAAGCACYACAAAGACTAAATWTWAAAYAGARTGATTTATATTAGACCTATCTTTTGTTCTGATGGACAGAAMCCAACAGTTTTAAGGATAAAATAAATTACCACATTAGATGTCTAACACATTGAAGGCAGGACGCCTGAAGAGGAGTTTTAAAYGCAGTAAAGACTCGCTGGGTGTTTGAAGCAGAAAATGTTGGCAGCTCAGTGTGCTGATCTGACTCTCGGCCCTCAGGCTTTAAAGGAGCGAACAGATGGACCGTCAGCTGGACTGAAGGCCCCGCAGCAGAGCTGGATGCTCGGGCCCACCTGGTCTTACCTATGAAGTCGTTGGATTTGCCGATGTCGTAGTCCCACACGGTGATCTCCAGCGTCTTCTTAGTGAGGTCTGCATATTTTATGTCGTAACAGAACTCCTGCAGTAGACGAAACAYGAGTCACGTTTGGGATTTCAGAATAAAACTTATTTTAAATCAACTTCAGCATCTTGGTAACCAAACTTAGTTTGGAGTTTAACAATAATCACAAACACAGCTGACATTTCTTCTTGATTTTTGCGGCTGGTTTGATATTTTTGCTTTCATCTGTAAAGCAACACTTGAGTCTGTGATAAAAATAAAGGTTTTTGCTCTGCTTTAATCAAAACTCTGATATCTGGAGCGATGTGGGTCTCTGACAGAAAGGCCGAGAGGTGATGGAGGAGGACGGGCGCCAAAAATGTCAGAGAAATGTCAAGCTGCCGGCCTGTGGGAGCGTTTGGCCAAGGGTGTGTGTTTGTGTACAGGAGGAGACTTTCTGTGCCCCGCATCAACCTGGAAAACATTTAATGTGCTGGAAAGACAATAAATAAATAAATAAATAAATAAAAATCCTATTTTAAATATTTCTGGTTTGAAGAAGCTCTTCCATCGTTTGCAGGCTGGTCACTGAATCTGCTTATTTCATTTTGAATGGACCAAAGCAGTACGTTGTCTATTATTCATCTTTCTACAAAGTTTTTTCTTCTCATAAAGCTGTAATTTTGTCCCCCAAAAAATCATATTACAAGAGTCTGAGTGTTTAAATTACTCAAATTAAATCAACATTTTGTCCAAATCCTGCGTGTTATAACYGAGATTAAAAGAAAACTTGTTACTAAAATAAAACTGTACATCATTTGAGGCAATTAAAAAACCACAACTGGAACAACAACGTGATCGTCTTAAAATAAAAAATAAAATGTTAAGTGCTTCTATAGCTGGTGGGGTTTCATAATCCATAAAAACATGCAATATTTCTGACAGTTTTACAGAGAAAGCTGTATTTTTTTTTACCTCGTTGAACTCAGGATTCAGAGTTTTCTTTTTCACAGCCGTTTTGTGCTTCGACTTTTTGTTCTCGTCGGGTTTTAGGTACCTGCAGGAGAAGAAACAGAGGGTTCAATACAAGCCGTAAAGCTTCCGTTTCTGTAACAAACAATAATGTAATCCAGATGTCGACGCCTTACAAAGACATTTTGTTTGTAAACAGTTTGTGTTGTTCTGTCCTCCAGGGGGAGCTGTGGTTCTGCCCGGTTTTTACCACATTTTAGACCAAATTATATCTGATTTAACTGTTTTTTTATTATAAAGACCTTTAATCCCAGCTGAAACAGAGTCAAAAAGATCACTTCTCAAAATAAAATTTTAGCCACTTCACAAAACTGAATTTCTACAGTTTTTTAATGAATTTCAAGAATTTTAACACAATTTTTGTAGCAATTTTCAGCTTATAATGACAAAATTTCACTGATTTATGGTTTGAAGTCCTGATGGTACAGAAAATATCTGCATGTTGGTCGCAGTATTATTGCTCTGAAAATCATTAAAAAACAGAAACACTTCAGGATAAAAAAACAGTTAAATCCTCTGTTAAATGAAAGGTTTTAAGTGAAGCTGGATGTTCCAGATGTGGTGGGATCAGAGCCACGGTAAGAAGGATGGAGGAGCTGCATCTTGTTTTCTGTTTGGGTTGGCTGCAGCCGGTGAGTCAGCGCTGGAAGCAGATTCTTGGTGCCACCGTTGCCCCGGGTGCAGAGACGTGTGTGTGTGTGTGTGTGTGTGTGTGTGTTCCTGAACCAGCTGTGCGTCCGTGTGGAGCTCAGACTTCTGACTTTATACATTATTCAAACATCTCACTTCTGTTCTGAGCTCATCGGACTTATGCAGTTATTTCCCAGGATAAGACAGAACCTTACAGAGAGGCTAAGAGGGGTTCTGCTCACCGGCTTCACACACATGCTGTAATCGTTAATGAAACCACTGAGCTCCCCTGACAAATCTCAGAGTGGAAGTTGCGATACTACAAGTGTTATTCTGCAGCAGAAGGGTTTTTATTCTAATTTAGCTGCGTCTCGTTGGTTTGATTACGATTCAAACAACCTGCTCCTGAATAACTCTGCGGTTAAAAACCTCAGTTTTTACAGATTAAAACAAAGAAGACACGATTCCCAACCAAGTAAAACATAAAGGCAGTATCTGGACTGTAACTTTTATATTAGTCGGGAACTTAAAAACATGAAAAAATACACAAATCTTCTCTTAGAATCACACTGAATTTATTCTAACACACTAATGTGACATGCAACAGTTTTGTCTTGATTTACTCCCAGCTTGTCTTTATTATGTTTTCTTTAAATCTGTCCAATCATTTAAAAATAAATTGTAATGATTTTAATCACCGTTTTCACTCATAGTTTGAGTCATTTCTACTTTCCCAGAACCTGACACTGGAGCACCAAGTGTTTTACCCGTTTAACCAGTATGCTTTACCCGTGACAATATATTTAAAAAAATTATTAAAAACTAAACTGTATTTTTACAGTCTTGTTTTTTTTCTAGCTGAAATAAATGTTAAATAACATCTAAATTTGACACTAGTCTATGATTCTTTTAACGAAAACAAAAACTGTTAAAGCCAGCGAATCAAACACACAAAAAAAGTTTCCATCCAATTTTAATGTGAATTTAGCAAATTTTAAAAATGTGAAAGTGGGGGGGGGGGNGACATGGGTTTTTACGATGTAAAAACATGTGTGCATTGCCATGTAGCATGTCATTGCAGCATGGCTTTGCCTGCAGCATAGGACTTGAAGAATGAATTTTGACCAAGTTCAAATGTGTTTTCTATTCCAGCTTGTGCCTGTCACGTCAGCAGGTGTTTGTAATTAAGGTAATTGAGTGACAATATGAAGKTAGAAGAGATTTTTTGTTAAAGTTGCGTTAGCTGGGTTTTGAACCCTGATCTCCCACATGAAAGTCCATGACATAGACCATTAGAACAATGGAGCTGTTGCAGAAGATGGTGGCAGGGGTTGGTTTGTATGTGTGCAGAAAGAGGCCACATTGCCAATACAATTATTGACACTAAACTGCATAATATTACAACAATAGAGCAGTATTAAGACAAATTTATAGTAAAACATCAAAATACAATCATATTAGTAGTGTAAACACTGAACCATTGAGTAAAATATTAAGAAACTATGGTGCAGTTCCAAGTTGAGTACAGCTGGGGGCAGTATTGGACCATTACAAGGCCCCATTGACTCCCATTATATGAATTTGGAATAAAGTTTAAACATTAATATTTCAAAAACTACAAGTTGTACAGCTACCAAAAGGCATAGCAATCATTTGGCACAGGACCTTTACAGATAGAAATTACAATGGCAGCTGTAGGACAAAGTATGCAGGAGCATTGCACTTGCAGAATGAACTTTGACCAAGTTCAAATATGTCTTCTAAACCAGCTTGTGCCTGTCACATCAGCAGGTGTTTGTAATTAAGGTAATTGAGTGACAATATGAAGCTGGAAGAGATTTTTTATTGTGTTAGCTGGGTTTTGAACCCTGATCTCCCACATGAAAGCCCATAGAGTTAACTATGAGACTATTGGAGCTGTGGCAGAGGGCACTGCCAGGGTTTGGTTTGTGTGTGTGCAGAAAGAGGCCACATTGCCAATGCAATTGTTGATACTTAACTGCAATATATTACAGCAATAGAGCAATATTAGGACAATATCATAGTAAAACATCAAAATACAATCATATTAGTATTGTAACCACTGAAGTATTGAGATTAAATATTATTAAACTATGGTTCAGTACTGAGTAGATATAGCAGGGGGCAGTATTGGACCAATACAAGGCTCCATTGACTCCCATTATAAATTATTAAAAATTAATATTTCAAAAACTATAAGTAGTACAGGCACCAAAAGGCATAGTCATCATTTGGCACAGGAGCTTCACAGATATAAATTATAATGGCAGCTCTAGGACAAAGTATGCAGGAGGAGAAGCATGCCAAAGTGGAGATGACTTGGATGGGAAACAAATCACAATAGTGTGCATTGCATTGGCAATGCACACTGAAAATGCACATCAGACATGTTTCCATCAACTGTCTTGGAGTGAATCAATTGTAATTACAGCAGACGTTAACGTTACACATGGCTGTAGTAAAAAGGAAGTAGTAAACAGGAAGTAAACTTACAGGGACACAGCTACCAGCAAAATTGTAATTATTCTGTCATATCAATCAGTTTTGGTGATTGATATGATGTTATGGGAATATCCAGGAAGACCCTGACAGCGGGAGGAGGGTCCAACTGCAGCCGCTACAATTATTGTATAGCAGGAACAGCTGATCCGGGTAAATGTTCACTTCGTCAGAACTTATTCTGCAAAAGTGTTTCCATCTTCCTTTTTGTGATGAGATACTTCAAAAGGCAAATCAAAAACTTTGATGGAAACACGAACAGATGAGAACAGGTGTAGGTGGGCGTGGCAGAACGATGGAGCACAGAATAACAAAGAATGGCAGGAAACACCAGGAGGGAGGGACCAAACAAAAYACTAAAAAATAAACATAAAATTACTAAAATAAATAAATAAAACCACTGATCATCGTATCAAACCCACCCACAGATGTCGAGCATTTCTTCGCCCTTTCAGACTCACAGGAAGTAAAAGGAGGAAAAGGTCACGATACATCAAAACGTTATTTGTCGCCGTCGATCACATCGTGTTCATCTGACACTTCCTGTGTTCATCTGTTACAGCCGGCGCCGCGTCCTTCAAGCCTCCTGGAGACTCTCCCTCAACCTTCGAAAACAAAAAAAGTCCCTCTTTTGTTCCGGAGGTTCGCTCGGCGGAGTCGGAAATTAATTGCGCTTCCACGGGCGAGGCAGATGAAAGACTCGGGGAAATGTTCAGGTGAGATAAATAAGATTCTCTTTCAAATTAGGAGCCATCACGCCGCCTCTCTCTCATGCTGCTGATAATCACAGGTTATCTCTCTTATTCTGCTACGACATCAGCTCCGGCAGATAATCCTCTCCTACATCTCCCTCATCGTCTTCAACCAAAACTAAAAATAGCTTTCTGGTGTTTTAGATGAGAGATGAAGTCAGCTGTTTGCCTTCAACATCAACCTTTTTGTCTGACAGAAAACAAACTTTTCATGTGAGAATAACAGCCTGCATTCAGCCCCATGTGATCTTTTTGCATACTGACGTTTTGACGTAGGGGTCGGAGAAGCCGTTGGCGTCCATGGCTGCGAGGTGAGCGCAGCGTATGATGCCCACCACCAGGCACGACTTCTGCGTGTTGTACTTGAGGGAAATCATGATCCGTCCACGCTCCTCCAGAGACTTGTCTTCAGTCTTGTTGACCTGAAGGGTTGAAACCAACAGATTTAGTCGGCGGAGGCAGGATTTCATGCAAAGGTCGTGACATTCAGGACCCTTCAGTGCTGCAGCCGCCAATGTTTCCTGAACGACTCCACGTCTCAGAATAGAAGAAATAAATCAAACTAAAACCAGATCTAACCTGTTGCAACAATGCATTGAGTTCCTATAATTAATGTTAATGTTAAATTCAATCAGCTCCCACATAAAAACTGTGAATGGTATAAGGTTTTATTTTATTTTATTATGTTACAAAGCTTTGAGTTAGGAAACTCTGTTCCCTCAGTTTATTAGACCATTTGCAGATTTGTTAAATTAATTTATTTGGTTACAGAACTAGCAACAGTTTGTTGTTTGGGTCCAGCAAAGTTATAGATTTGAACAAATTCTTCATTCTAAGATCAATAACCTAAAAAATAAACATTGTAAAACACAAATACCATCTCTTGTTGAGAGGAGGAACAAAGAATTCATGACATGTGTGTTATAATTTAATAAAAGCCATACCCCAAACTGGACAAGCTGTTAAGAACCATGAACAACACAAAGATTAAGTTGAGCAGTGTTGATCATTTTCATACAGCAGTTTAACCTTTGTAATATCACAGTTTACAGTATTACTGGGGGGAGCAGATGGGGGTGTCTTCTAAATAAGCTGAGGTGGTCAGAACACGTCGGTAACGTTGTGGGGTATCTTCTGAAAGAGCCTCAAATGTTTATGTCCCAGTTTTCATTGCAGCCTTGTAGAAATTTGATGCTTCCTCACATGATGCATACATTTTGATACTGAAATATAACAAAATACCTACATACCACCCAAGACTTATGAAGAGAAAAGTTCTCCAAAACTGTACAAACAAGCATATTTTAATGCAACGTTTGGACATTTAGGGCGACGCACCGAGTCTTTATGTGTCCCTGTGATGGACAACAAAAAAATAGTGAGAAAATATGCAAACTTTCAGCTATTGTTTCACTTAATTCAGTGTTTTCGAACCAGAAAGCAGTTTTCTAAATGATCAATTGTTAAACTGTTCATTGTCAGGGTGGACATACCGCAGAAACAACTGCCAAATCTCCAGAAAAAAAAGGTCACAAATATTCTGAACATGTTCAAACCTAAACTGACACGACTGAAGTTTCTGTGACTAACGCCAGGAAGCTGAGAATCCTGAAAATAATTAAAAATACTCCAGAGATTCCCTCGTATTTGTTGTGTCCACCTAGTCGCAGCTCAGTGAGATATTTAAACCTTAAACCTGTTCTTTACTCCTGAATCCTCATCTGCATCTGAAGCAAAGCTGAACAAACCAGCTGCTCATTAAAACCAGCAGTAATGGACATCTTTGCACTCAGATTTCATAAACTTAAATCTCTTCGTTTTTATTTTGACTCCCGGCACCTGACAGATTTAAAATAATTCTAGGTTGTAAAATGTGGGTTAGATGGGTTCATTCTGTGACGGGACATCAGTGCCGTAATTGCCGTCTTGACATTTGTGTGTCTTGAATTTCAGCCAATCAGTGATTGGCTGATTGGTGCCATTTCGAGTGCAGACGATGAGTTTATGGCTTCATCGCGTTCTTAGGAAAAAAATAAAACATCTAAGTGGAAATGTGACCTCCACTAAAATTATTTGTGTAGAAGACAACGACTGAGAACGTGTTTCTGTGTCCAGGAATCAACTCGGCCCCAAACCGGAATCAGAATCTGAAACTGGAAGCTTAATTAGTCCCGCCTCATATTCTCCATCCTGCTGACAATGTTGACGCTCGCCTCGGTCCACAGATGGCACACAACTTGAGAAGTTCCCACAAGGCACAGAGAAAACGATGAATCAAAGATAGGAGCGAACTTCCTCTCTCTTTATTACTTGAACTGAAACAGTAAAACAACATGACGCTCTCACAAAGCTGACCTGCTTCACCCGGAAACAAAGCTTTTTAGGACGAGACAGATTGGGTTTACTGTGGTCCAAAAGCAGCCGAATGAAGATTCGGCTTCTCGTTTGCAACAAGTGTTTTCCAGCGTGGCGTCGAACTGAGCCCAGAAATTCTCCAGAACCTTTTGTTTATTTTTCAGGTCTTATTTTCTTCAGTTTTTTTTGGCACAAATCTCGTTTCACAAGTTTTGTTCTATTTTAACAATTCATATATGAAAACGTTCAGCTCCTTCAGGACACTTCAGCTTTGACTTTTGCTATTTCAGCTATTTCTACTTTTTTGGATATTTAGCTTTTTCTATAATTATTTTTGCTCTCATTGAAAAGGACTGGAGCTAAAACTTTTCAAAATGTTCATAAATCTTTACAGAACTTTTAACTTCTAACCCGGTTCTGCTTTTTAACTTCTTTGTGCTAATTTCAGCTGCTCTTTTGTTGATTTTAGCTTTTTTCATTCAGAATTGTTTTCTGCTTTTCTTCTGCAAACAAACATTTTTGTGCTTCTTTCCGCTGATTTCTGCTAATTTCAGCTTAGTTCAGTTTTTAGCTACTTTTAGCTAATTTCAATTAAAGTGAGCTTTTTTCAGCTAAATTCAACTTTTTGTGATAATTTCAGCTTAATATTGCTTAACTGAACAACTTTCTGTGTCTTTAAGCTATATTCAGCTACTTTTTAAAGACATTTTAAGGCTAGTTTCAGTTTTTTTTAGCCATTCCAAAATAAGCTGCATGAACTTCTTGTTTTTTGCTCCTTTGAAAATGTTCATTTAATTTTCCCTTCTGCTCTTTTTGTTAATTGAAGACATTTTATTAGTCTTTTCAGATTTTTTGCCCTTTTTTTGCAATCTTTCTACTGATCTGTCCTATTTTCATCTAAAGTCAGCTGTTCAAATTGAACTCACATTAACAGTTTTGTTATTAAACCTTTTCAGCTTCTTTATAGCTTTCAGATAACATCTTTTAGCATTAAGCACTCACTGCGTTTTCGCAGAAAATACAATTTCCCAATTATTTTTTTTATCTACTCAGTGATATTTTTAAGTAATTTCAAACATCTGCTGAAACATGAGCCAGGAGAACGACAGCATAAAGGTTACGTTAAAGCTGATGGTGACTGTAAACACACTTGATATTTATAAAAATATCTTATAATATCAGTGTAATTTATTCTTTTACGTTGTTTTGGTCCTTCACCAAACACTTGAAGCTATCTGGGGAGAAAAATACACACTCCGGCGTATAAAAATTACAGAGATGCAGCCCATAAAGAGCTATAAGAGGGTTTTTTGCAGCTAGGCCCAGTGAGTTAGAAATGCAATTTGTGAGCGGCACTGTTAGCTGCTGATTGTGTGAATATGCAGTGGATTTTTCTTTACCTCAGCTCTTTAAATAAAAACAGAATAAGTCTCCTAATATCAGCTGAATAAATGCACAGCGGCTTAACAACTTCGAGCTTATCAGGAGCTACTTGAAAAAGGACGAGGTGAAGGAAATGTGGGCATTTCAGCTTTTTTCACTGTGGTTTGTGAATTTTAAACTGATATGAAAAAAGTATTTTCTGCTTCATTCTCCCACTATTATTAATGATAAAATAGTATTTACTACACAATGAACTCATATTACTTTGAGTCCAATTTCAGACAAGTCTTTGTATTAGAATAAAAATACTGATTTCTCTGATTAAAATCTTGGTCAAAACTTTTAAACACATTTCATGGTTTCTAACTGGTTTTAGCTTCATCAATAGAGAAAACAAAATAAAACTTTATTTCTAATGTTGTTTGTGATATGAATTGACAAATAGTTCAATTAAAGAACAGAAATATCTTAAAAGTAAACAAGTAGTCAAATTGTTTTCATGTAAACTTTCAAGGAACACAGCGTCAGGAACCATTGATATTCATAGTGAGAAAAGTTCAGCTAATCAGTTAACCACAGAAGTATCTTCTCATTTAGCAGATTCTTTTTTTTTTGCTATCTTTGGGAACCGTCAGCAGATTGATTAGCTTCCACTGTGTCAGTCACCCTGGGTGTAGCATGTAGCGTCTTTAGCAGCTAAACTTCAAACTAATTGTCAAAAATAAATAAAATTAGATTTACAATATTTAAATAATGAATACAAAAATAGGCCATATATACGGCGGGTAAAATAAGTATTGAACACGTCACCATTTTTCTCAGTAAATATATTACTAGAGGTGCTAATGACATGAAATTTTCACCAGATGTTGGTAACAACCCAAGTGATCCATACATACAAAGAAATCAAACCATAAATGTCCAGAAATGAAGTTATTTGTAATAATGTGGAATGGCACAGGGAAAAAGTATAGCAGGACAATAGCAGGACAGTGGCAGGACAATAGCAGGACAGTAACAGGACAATAGCAGGACATTAACAGGACAATAACAGGACAATAGCAGGACATTAACAGGACATTAACAGGACATT